GGGGAGTATTAGCAACCACCCTTGCCTATAATGAGCTGCTTTAATGCTGAGGCTATTGACAATGGCGAAAATCGAGATGATCTATGCCATCCTCCTCACTAAGCTAGTTTTCCAGCCTGTCCAAAGTAAATGATATTTGACTAAACACGCTCCCCAGAGCCTCAACGTATGTGCATTATCTGCATTTCCGATAAGCCTTGGCAGAGCATGCAATGATTAACCCCTTCAGCAGGGGGATCAGCAGGCTGCAGCGCTCATGGATTATTATTAAGGCTTCACAGATGATGCCGTGCAGTTGATCGCCCATTATTTACACGAGCAGCACACAAATGGAAGAGGGGTGTCGTGGCCACACAATAGTCCTGATCTCCCCCACAAAGTGCCATTTTGCTTAGGAATCCGGCGCAGACGGTGCATGACGCCAGTCGCTTTCTCCTTGCTCCTTCCTATGCCTCCTATCAATGACGGTGTGTTATTTGTTCTTCTATCCTATGTAGATCTAATGAAGGAATGATCATAGGAATGCATGATACAACGCATTGCGGTAGAACAGCCTTGATGTAATATGTAACTTTCAGGGGCCGTTAATATGGAGATGTGTCAGTGCGCTGTTCAGTGGAGAGGTGCTGAAATAAAACGACTAGAGCGATAGGTAAAGCGGAGAAAGATCTCACAAGTGACAGCCATTTTCTGCATACTTATAGATCATTATGATGCTTTTAGCACTGCAAACGTGTGTGATCATGGCGTTGCAGCCCTTATTTGCACTTCCAATGTAGGCTTAGCTGGGGAAGGCAATGTTTAACCTATGGAATAGTGTGGATTATTGCTAGGATTCAGGCGTATAGCCTTTCATTACATGCAACATGCTAGGTGCATGCCTCGGATCGCTGCTGCTGTACTGATACGTGTTCTGTATTTTCCTATGCAGGAGCTAAGATGTACCATTGCTGCTCTGCAGTCACGTTCGACCAGGACTTAAACAAGAAAATGCAGATGTGGATACTACAGACGATTGCATTTGCTTTGACATCCCTGGTTCTCTCTTGGGCAGAAACTATTGAATCGTATGGAGAGGTGTGTGACAATTGCCCTTGTGAGGAGCGAGATGGCATTTTGTCAGTGAATTGTGAAAACAGGGGGATCATTAGCCTTTCGGAGATCACTCCTCCACGTTTTGCTATCTACCATCTCTTCCTGTTTGGGAATCTGTTGAACCGCTTGTACCTGAACGAGTTTGTCAATTACAGTGGGGCTTCTATATTACATCTGGGGAATAACGACATCCAGGAGATTGAGACGGGCTCATTTAACGGGCTGCAGGGTCTAAAGAGGCTGCATCTGAACAATAACAAGCTGGAACTTCTTAAAAATGACACCTTCCTCGGTCTAGAGAGCCTGGAATATCTGCAGGTCGATTATAATTATATCATCTCCATCGAGCCCAACACCTTTAGCAGGCTCCACACTTTACAAGTCCTGATACTCAACGACAATCTCTTGTCCAGCTTGCCCAACAATCTCTTTCGTTTTGTTCCCCTGACACATTTAGACTTGAGAGGAAACAGGCTGAAAGTGCTTCCCTTTGTTGGCTTATTAGAACACATGGATAAGGTGGTGGAGCTACAACTAGAGGAGAACCCGTGGAACTGCTCGTGCGAATTAATTGCCCTGAAGGATTGGCTCTATAGCATCTCTTACTCTGCCCTAGTCGGTGACGTGGTTTGTGAAACTCCTTTTAGACTGTATGGGAGAGATCTGGATGAGATATCCAAGCAGGAGTTGTGCCCCAGGAAACTGATCCCCACTTATGAGATGCGACCTCCCGTCCCCAGGAGTACCAACGAGTACTTCCACACCACCCCCGCCTCTGTCAATTCGGGGGCCACGATCTCCTCTTCTGTTTACAAAAACCCCACCAAACCCAAAAGCACACGGCAGCCTACACGATCCAGAGTGCGAGCCACTTCTCACCACCCTCCCAAAGAAAATGGTTACATTGCTTATCAGACCAAATCCCCTGTGCCTTTGGAGTGTCCTACAAACTGTACCTGCAATTTACAGATCTCCAATCTGGGACTAAACGTCAACTGTCAGGAGAGAAAGATTCAGAGCATCTCCGATTTACACCCGAAACCTTATAACCCCAAAAAGATGTACCTGACAGGTAATTATATCACTCTGGTTCGCCGATCTGACTTTATTGACTCGACTGGCTTGGACCTCCTGCACCTTGGGAATAATCGCATCTCAGTCATCCAGGACCGAGCCTTTGGGGATCTGACTAATTTACGCCGGCTCTATTTAAATGGCAATTCCATTGAAAAGCTGACACCGGGCTTGTTTTATGGCCTTCAGAGCCTTCAATATTTGTTCCTCCAATATAACTCCATTAAAGTTATAGAACGTGGGACGTTCGAGGCCGTTCCAAACCTGCACCTTCTATTCCTTAACAACAACCTCCTGAAATATATGCCAAGTAACATTTTCTCGGGATTGAGCCTCTCCCGGCTTAACATGCGAAGTAACCACTTCTCGCATTTGACGGTGAGCGGTGTGCTGGACCAGCTCAAGTCCCTGGTGCAGATCGACCTCCATGAGAACCCCTGGGATTGTACGTGCGATGTGGTCGGCATGAAGCTCTGGCTGGAGCAGCTGAGCGTCGGGGTCTTGGTGGACGACGTGATCTGCAAGACCCCTAAGAAATTCTCAATGAAGGAGATGAGATCGATCAAAGCCGATCAGCTTTGCCCAGATTACTCTGACATCGTGGTTCCCACGTCTACTCCTTCAGAGGAGCAGCCCCCAGAGAGCACCACCGCGTTTATTTATCCCATTAAAGTCGACAACAAAGTGCCGAGCTCAGTGCCCTTGTCTGTGCTCATACTGAGCCTGCTCTTGGTTTTCATTATGTCTGTGTTTGTGGCTGCAGGGCTCTTCGTCCTTGTAATGAAGAGAAGGAAAAAAAATCAGAATGAGCCAGCCAGCACAAATAACTCAGACGTGAGCTCATTCAACATGCAGTACAGCGTGTACAGCAACCGACCTCTGCCCAAAGTCAAGACCCCGGCCGGCCATGTCTATGAGTACATCCCCCACCCTCTGGGTCACATGTGTAAAAACCCCATCTATCGATCGAGGGAAGGCAATTCTGTGGATGATTACAAAGATCTCCATGAGCTGAAAGTCACCTATAGGAACCACCTGGAAGAAGAAAGAGAGAGCAACCTGAGGAGCCCTGGCTACAGTGTCAGCACCATCGAGCCAAGGGTTGAGCTTTCACCTGTGCAAGATACAGATCGTGTCTACAGAGGGATCCTAGAACCCGACAAAGGACCTACACCCGGGACTAACATTGAATACAAGTATAGCAACCCCCCACCGTTTACCTATACCCCAAAATACGAGGCAAAGCGTCAGTTTCTGCATCCAGACAGGTTAAGAGAAGCTGTGCTTTACAGCACCCCTAGTACTGTCTATGTGGAACCTAATAGGAACGAGTATTTGGAATTAAAAGCTAAACTTAATGTTGAGCCGGACTACCTCGAAGTGCTGGAAAAACAGACAACATTTAGCCAGTTCTAGACTCCACCATCTACACTATTATCTCTGAAACAAAGGACTACTCGAGGATTTTGTTGCTTCAACCTACGGATGAAGTGCCTTGGCACAAGATTTTCAGCTGCAGCAAATTCTACTGAAAGGGTGTGCAATTTTCTCCTCTCTTTCTTCTTTTTTTTTTTTTTTAGGACAACCATCAATTGTACAAACTGGGCACAACACTTACTGTTCGAAAGCGTTCCTCCTATTACTGCAGTCTGAGAATTAAAGAGTTGGAATCACTCTTGGTGCTAGGAGGTATCTATGAAGAGTATACCATGCTATAACCCTTCAGACAAGGGTGGGTCTAAATGACTTTTCTGGTGTTTTAGCAACTCCCTCCCCCTACGTTTAATATAAAAGGTCCATTTTTACAGGATGTATTTGTATGCTCTCCAGACTTTTGAAGCTCAAGCTAAATGATGTAAGCTATTTACGATCTTTATGCATCACCATAGATGGTGTAAGCAAAATTCTGAAGTGCAAAGACATAGAATCTATAACTTGGGTAGTCAAAAATAATTTATTGTTGAAATACGAAATATTTTAATGTAGCACCTATTTTTATATGCACATTAGCATTTCTTCTTCTTTTTTTTTTTCTTCTTCACTATTCTTGTCTTTGATTTGCTCAAATGTGTTGCACTACATAAAAGACACTGAGATCCTGAGCTGTTATATGAAAATTTGGCTATGACAATTCTACACGTTAAAAAAGTGACCAAATAGTGAGTGTTTTATGGCAAGTTTGTTGATTGGTATTGGTGAGATGGTTGTTCTATGAGATGTACCTAGGAAATGCTAAGTCAAATCTATAATTGGGCACTTCATAGAACTGAATAGTGAGGGATATACAGGGATACCCGGTTTTAAAAAGGGAAAAAAAAATAATTTCATTTCATTAGTGAACCAAATGTAATTTCTCGACTACTGTTGTAGTCAAATTTGAATGCATTGTACAGACTAGTGTGTGTCCTGTCACCTGGTAGGTTTGACATATGGAAATGTTCAAGCTTGGGGCAAAAAAAAACAATTGTTTTATTTTTTCATTTATTAATTCTTTTTCAAAGCAAGCAGTGTGCTAATGCATGTAATCAACGTAAAAGAATAACATATGAGCTGCCATAGCCATTCAGCATGCATTCATGAAACTAAGGATTTATAATCCTTTGATTTGGTTTCTGCCAGTGGATTGAAATGGCACAAATTCAAGTTTCAAAGAATATTATTGTTAATGAATACAGTATGAATTGGCTACTCATACCCTGCTGTATTCCTTAATCCTTAATGCCCAATTTGAGGTTAAGACGTGAAATAATTAGGAATATTTTTCATTGTTTAGAGCATGTTACATTCATTTTTCAATTGCTATTAAGATGCCATGACTGTTTCATTTTTATGTAATGATCACATTATTATTTTTTTCTCATGTAATATTTGAAAAACAGGGTAAGCTGTGACATAGCACACATCACACACACACAGACACACACACACACACACACACATCACACACACACCTAGAAAATTAATCTGGAATAAATGGCACTGAGTGCAAAGTTCCTAATCAGGATTCATTTTCCTCTGTTTGTGGAGGATTCATGAGAGCATTTCTCTAATATTTATGTATTTTGAAATCTTTATGATGTAAAAAAAAATGTTTGTAGATTCTTCCTAAAACATTTTATATTTTGCATTCTGAGACTTATTTCTCATATGCAATTACTTAAAGTAAACCTGTCACTAGCAAATACAGTAGATAATGCCTTATCTGGGTGACAGGAGGTACCAATACATTAGAGGTGCCAGTACATAGCAGTCTGCTTCTTTGCAGCTTAGTGAACTCCAAAATTGGGGCATGCAAGTTATCTATAGCTTGGGCATTCCTGCCTCCCTCTGCATCTTACATTGCAATGTAGTGCTTCTCAATAGGTTGCAGAGGTGCCCCATTGCATTATGGGATGCAGATAGGGCATTCCTAAACACTTAAGAAAAGTGAAGACTTGCATACTGCATACTCCCAGTTTCAGGGCCTCAAGGGACAATCAGTAGTGAAATTCCATCTCCCACCTATGGCAATTTATAATGTGTTTCTTAGTGGCAGGTTTACTTTAATAAATACACTTTTCTGAATTCTTCCATGAAGATCTATTTGTTGACATAAAGTACTTTGTATTCCTGAATTTCAAATAATGTTATAAACAGGGATATGCAACTTTTCCAACAACTGCCCTCAAAGTTACACTATTTTTATAAACTATATTGTAACAAGCATCAGATTAACCTGCAGCGTAAATTATTCATTAGAAAAGTTATATTTATCTTGATGTTTTATGCAGTGCTCTTGCACATTATTACATTTGAAACATTTTAATAGATGTATGTAAAATAATCACAGTAATGAATAATGACATTTCACAGAAGCCAACTTTTTTTTCTAATGCATTTTAATTTTATTCACGTTTTTGTTGTGTTTTTTAAAAGCAAAAAAACAAAAAAAAAGTGTTTAAATGCATCTGATCATCGATTTATTTTTAAATCATGGAACATTCCTTTTAAAATACTGAATTTATTATATATATAAAAATATGCTAATATAAGGCCAGTTAATTTTGAATTATTTTGCATAGATCGCTGTTATGCTCTTTGTCTTCTAATATCATCCCACATGCAATCAAATCCTAAAATGTGTACATCATAAATAAATATCTATTTTTTTATGCACGCTTATTATTATGATTTTAATCAACATTTGTACAGTCTATAGTCTAAAGAGGATAATTACAATATTGCATATTCTGGAAAAGTAAAAGGTCTTAACGCTATATGGTATTTCTGCTTACAATATAGGGGCATAGCCAAATTAAATTAAATAAAGAATAATTAGTGCTCAACACAGCAACATATCATTAAACATAAAAGATGTCAATATCTTCAACCATTATCAGAGAAATGTGTGTATTTTACTGAACATCAATCATGTGATTATACCAAACATTTGCTGATGATATTTTGCTGATACATGAGAAACTAGAGACAGGATACTATAAGGCAGCTTTGTAATCTATGAAGGATGTTATTTTATTTACATTCATATATTTTGTTCAGTGATATGTACTTTATTTAATCTAAAAACTTTTGGGAATTCAATGTAAAATTATATTTTAAGAAAGTAAATAATTCTATTAAAATTAAAATTGATTATACCAATCTGTATTTTAGCACTTACACTTTTGTTCAAAGAGTTCCCTGAGAATCAAAATGGTTAAATACTCTAAGACTGATTTTAATGAAGGAGTAATTTTTACCTTTGCCTATGTTCACTTCAGATACTAAGTTCAAAGAAATTATAAGTCAAAAACAAGACATTTCTCCTGAACCTGAGGTGAACACAGACTCCCAGAGAAACGCAGACTCTATGGTTGGGTCTACATAGTGAAATTACATATTCGTTTAAAAACAGGCATCAGAGAGAAGATATAAATGGCAAAATCGTTTTCTGGCTGTTATATCTGACATAAAAATGCACAAAAAGTAATTGACCAGAAATTGTAGATCATAATGAGATTTCATGTACTTTTTTTTTTTTGCACAAGGCTTACGAAGTTGTAAACGGTGCAGACTCTTGTGGTTTCAGACCAGATGTGATTCACTAATTGAATATCAGTGACTTAAATGCATTGCTAATGTGTTCTAACATAACATGAACATTGGTGTGTGAATGGGTGTTTAAGTGTTTAACATATAGCAATTACAGTATTGTCCTCAGGTGTGCTATGGAGGGGAAATGATAATGTACATGCCTTGCTGCATAAATCTTAATATGTCTGTCACAGATGAATCGGTATGACTGTATGTATTGACCAAAATACCTTTTTTTTATACAATCACTGATCATATTTCCTGTTCTGAACATTCCCAGTGCTATTATTTGAGAAGCTAAGTCAATTAAGTTGTCAATTTTCATGGCTTAGTGTTCGGGTTGCAGTTCTTGTGTCTCAAGGCTGACCCAGCTTGGAACTAATTTGGTTAGCTTTTTAGTTTGTTGCATGTTTTCTTTCATTGTTAATTGTTTTCTTTTCATTTACTTTAATTCAATCTTCCCAGCTGCACAAGGAAATGTATTCCCAGTGGGATGATTGTATTATAACAAAGCTGATACTAGGTGAAAGTTTTGAGTGGCCTACTACTGTTTCTGCAGGATGTCAGGAACGGATATAAGTGTAGATGCCAATGTGCTTCTTGGAAATAAGAATATTTTTGTTTGGGTCTGTCTCTAATATACATTTCACCACCACTTTACCTTTACAGTATGGCCAGCTTTAAACCTACAGCTACTTAGATAAATATGGATTATATCATCTGCAAATGTATGCAAGCTGCTTAGAGGAGATTGCGTACAGATATAGGATGCAGTGGTGGATCACACTGTATTGAAATCTGTTAAGCTATTTTTTTTCTTTTTTTAGTTTTGACGCAGCAAGAAGTAACATCTGTCCAAAGCAAGGTGACATCTCCTCTTAGACAGCTGTCACCATAACAGATTCCCCCACTGAAAGATTTCTCCTCAGCTTCTGTTCCTGTGGCAACTCACAAATGTTGGATTTCCCATCCCTCTGTACCAGAGACACATAGAGGGTGAGTCCTCTCCCCCTCAGCAGGGACACAGACAGTAATAAAAACTAGACAAAGGCTCCAATGCTTCCACATTCTATCCAACTAAACAAAAAGGTTTTGGCTTTACATACATTTTAATGTACAAATTCAGCAATAATTCTGGATAGACATGAGAAAATGATAAAAGAAAACTACTCTTCTTGCAGTTTTCCCAATCCTCTAGTAAAGACAATGCCGCCTCTGCACCAACTGGAATTTCTATACTGGTACTATTTGTGGTGATGAGAAGGTTAATTAAAAGCTAGAATACCAGCCCTCACACATGCTTGGCCATCAAATCTTCGTTTATTGTAACCAGCAGCAGGACATGGAGTGCAAAGATTTAAAAATAACCAGGGACGCTGTCATTACACAGTGAGAACCCGGCCAGGCCGCTATGATATCACAGCGGCCTCTCCGGGTTCTAAGTGTGTAATGACAGATGGCATCCCTGGTTACCTGGTAACCAGGGACGCCATCTGTCATTACTCTCCCGGACGCTCTGGGAGTCTAATACGGCTCCCTGCTGCCCAGGAGAGAAACACTTTCTCTCGGAAAGATTTACTCTGCTCAATCGAGCAGAGTAAACCTTTCCTTGTAATCTGTTTTTATTTATTTTGTCTGACACCATAGGAATGCATAGCTAGATTCCTATTGGCTATATAACTTTGCAAAAAATAAAAAATAAACACCATAGGAATGCATAGCTAGATTCCTATTGGCTATTTAACTTTGCAATAGCCAATAGCAAACTAGCTATTGCACCCGCCCACTGCTGCTGTCAATCAGCAGAGGGGGACATGCAGTTCTCCATCAGGTCCCCTCTGGTGATTGACAGCAGCAGAGGGGGGGGGAGGGGGGGGTGCAATAGCTAGTTTGCTATTGCAAAGGGAAATAGCCAATAGGAATCTAGTTATGCATTCCTATGGTGTTTTTTTTTTTTACGGCAGCAGATCCGTCCCAGCCAATAGAAAACAGTTGGGCGGGGCTAGCTGTCACTGCTAGCTACGCACAATCGTTTTCTATTTCTTTCTACTTTTTTAACTATTTTTCCATTCTGCTCGGCCAGTGAATAGACCCCTAAGTGTAAAAAAAATAAAAAATAAAATAAATGTCACATATAAAAAAAAGTAAAAAAAACAACAACATTTTTTAAAGTCCCCCACCCCTACGTTTACACACATATAAACGTAAAGATGCACCAGCGAGCGAAAACGACAATTGCGCTACACATGTTACATATCACCGTGAACGTCGGACTGAGAGCAATAATTTTAGGGCCATCAATTACTGATAACACTATCTTAGATTGTAAGCCCTCAGGGGCAGAGCCCTCCTTACCACCTTGTCTTGATTTGTACTGTGATTATAATGTCTTCCCTATATTGTAAAGCGCTGCGCAAACTGTTGGCGCTATATAAATGCTGTAAAATAATAATAACCGATGAGCGGTAAAAGCTTTTAAAGCATCGCTTATGGCCAATTTTAAGTATTGTAATTTTTTGAGGTTTCGCAGGAAATTTTAAGGTTTAACATGTTTGGTGTCTTTTTACCCGACGTGACTCCATCTTTTATATTTTACCAAAAAAGTGGGTAATAATAAATGTTTTATAATTTAATTTAGGGGGAACAGTTTTTTTTTTTATTTCGGTAATTTTTCCTTACTATAGTAAAAAATAAAAACCCCAGTGGTGATTAAATAATTAAATACCACCCAAAGAAAGCTCTATCTGTCCCCACAAAATGGTATACAATTAATTTCAGTACAACGTTGCATGACAGAATAAATGTCAGTCAAAATACTGCAGCGCTGAATACTGAAAAATGGCCTGGCCAGGAAGGGGGTTTAACACCACGGACTTCAAGTGGTTAAGCTATTTCAAATGCTGAATAAATCACTTACAATGGATGTTGCTTCTTGATGTTTAAAAGTCCCTGAGAACTATACCTGATATCCTGTTTTATAGTGTTTCCTTCCCCTCGCAGGGTCTGAAGGAATAAA